CGATGGACAGCCCTAGCCTGAGTCTGGAGAAGAAAAGGTAATAAATTCACTGAAATTCTGTTGCTTATTTGGATAATTAATTAACGCAGGATATTAGATGTAAAGTGGTGACTATTGACGACTATTCATCACTATTCGCCACTTTTCGCAACTGTTCGCCACTATTCGCACTATTCAAGACTATTTGCACTATTCGGGACTATTTGCTATTCGCTATTCACGACTATTTGTTATTTGCTATGCGGGTTTTCCAGACACCCTTTAGATTACATATCTCAATGATATTTCTATGCATATTTTTGCCAAAATAGTGATTGTGTAGATCCAGAACAAGTGGACTGTAATTCCCATTTATTTAGTCCCATTTATTTACCGTATGTAATTTACATTCAAGCTGTTGCATCTGTTTAAGATTATTGTTTATGATGTTCATAAAGAATTTTTAAATAGGAAATTGAATCCTTGGTACTTGCTATTTGAGCCAGAGATGTGGTTCACAGGCTTACACAGTGTATATACACTGTACATGTACTAGAAAGTATCTTTTGTTCTAATTTTCTTCAGTGATGTGTTCATCGAAGAGCTCATGGATGATGCAAAGGTACTGTATACATTGAGTTGTTCCAGAAAACCCCACCCCTCCGGAAATTCCAATTATGCTGCATAAATTTCTTCAAATTTTTTGGTCTCACAGAACCACCCCTCCTCCCCCAGGAAATTCCAATCCCTTCTGTGGGGGGAGTACTTATGGATATTTTTTGGAGCTAATCATTCTGAGTTTTTTTGCTTCTTTCACTTGTTAAAAATAATTTTTATTTGTAGTATTTGTGTAATCTAGGAGAAGTGGTATGACAAATAAAACGCTATGTAAAACGGTTGTTGACTCACAAACTGAACTTGGTGTTCCAGAAATTTGATGTCTAGTTTAAAAATATCTGTAACATTGTTTTTCTTACTTTCCCATCAGCATATAATAGAACTGAGGAAAAATGCAGCAGCCATGATCTTCATTGCTGGAATCCTGTTTGGTCTGTTGCTGACTCCTGTGCTTAGATTGTTTGCCGAATGTCTCGTCAATTCTTTTATGCAAGAACCTGACTCAGAACAAAACTATGAAGATGAGGGATTGGGAAAAGATGAAGTAGACGAAGATGACGAAGAGGAAGAAAAGAAAGATAGATGAAATATAAAGAGTGTTGCAGAGCACGATCGTTATAGTTATCAAGACCAGAGTATAATCTTTATCTCAAAACTATGGTTTGGCATATTTGATGCTTGCAGTTGCCAGTTTGACCAGGACTCCCCAGGGGCTCCTAAGCCCACAACCAGCTAGAACCCAGATTTACTTAAGTATATTTAGAGAATCTTGGTCGTTCCGGGCCCTGATTGCTTTTGTACCCCGTTTCAGTACCAGAGCGGTGATGTTATGAGTACAGTTGTAATTTGGAACACTCTGGTGCAGTATGTGACAGTCGTTGCTTTGATCAGCTTTTATGTTACCAGACACAAAGGGAGCTGATGAGCTTCGTTTTATGTCCTGTTTAGAACGTGTTTACTGGTGTACGCCGAATATTAACTTGACCATGCGATTTGATTACAGCTGTATACATGATGAAACATACAGTCGAGCAAAGACTGACTCATGTACCCGGAGGGGTACTTCCGTAAGTTTCGGCTAGGTGTGTACCGCGAAGGGTCTATTTAACGCACAAACCCGAAAAAATGACACCCTGTTCAACGGGAGAACAAAACCTAGGAATGGCGTGAACGGGTCAGCTTTATTTCGTTTCTGTAACATTAGAAGTTGAGCATCAAGCATAGAATGTGTTTTTCGTTCAGCTGGGCATTCACGCGCTGGAATTTTAGCTGATACAGTTTAGGTACCCTATCTAAGGATCACACTGGGAACACCACGCCAACAGGACAAACACGATACCCTAACCTATCCTGCGGCACATACCTATAAAGCAAACATATGGGAATAACCCTCCCCCCGGGCCAAAGTACGAGGCTATCCCGGAGGATTTAACGTAGGTAATTCCCCCTAAAATCAGTCTCGGTCGTTCTTACTGTTAGTAATCGTCATATCATCACGGCTGTTGGCTGTTTCCAGCTTAAAAAAAGGGCACAGGTTAAGGATAATCTTGTGTCCGGTAACACAATCATCACGATGTAATGACTTACGTTACATACTTGTGGGATATTTGACGATAGTAGATATTTCCTTGACAATTTTCTAAGAGGAAAAAAAAACACACGAGTGAACGTTTGCGTTTGGAAGCAAAAGCCGTAGACTAGTTTCGACAGGATTTTTGGAGAATTCCCATATTGCTGCGTAAGAGTGTACCACATGGTTAGCCAACTCAGTGACTCTTTACACCTCTGAAGTATTCTGAGATGCATTCCTTTTCGACGCGGTCTGTTAGGAAAAACGTTGGTTAAAATAAATGCCACTCTTTCTTTGGTATCGTTGAATGTTACGCTCGAAATGATCTGAATCCGGAAATCTTACAGTAACTATCCTGTGGTCTGTGGTCTGTGGTCTGTGGTTTTCCGAAGAAAACACAAAGCCGGTACTTCCGGTTTGCTGTTGCATTGTGAAGAGGAATCAATCTGACTCTAAAAATAGTCAGACACCATCTGCTATAAATACCTTTTGCAAACCGCACTAAGAAACTGTCGTTATTTGTTCCTCGCCTTATTTCCTTTTTTTACAAGAGGATCTATGGAGTAAATGTAATAAATCACTGAAAAATCTATCTTTTCTTGAAATACTGGAAAGACCAGTGGACGGGATCTGAAGGCGAACAGTGTTGGCGCGTGACTCTTCAAATGACCGCAAATCGCCCTTGAAACCTGTTTAATGCGGAAGTCTATTAGTTCTATTGTCTGACTCCAAAAGGAAGCGAAATGCGCCGAAGTTAGGAATTGTTGTTTTCAATTAAACACTTTGATTAAACAGGATATAAAAGCAAACACATTTCTGAGACGGTTCCTATAGAAATCCAGTTGAGATTTCAGTTGTGTATGACAACGGTTCCTGCAATTTTATTTAGTTATGACAATTCTCCGTTACCAATTAATACTTCAGGGTGGATTGTGAGGGAGACCCTGAAAGTACGTCGAGCCTCTTACATACTTTCACCGAAGGGGCCGGCCATGAGTGTCTGTACATCCCCGGGCCGTACACCTCTGTACTCTGGAAGGGTGTATGTATTGTAGAAGTAGAGGTAATATAAAGTTTGGCTTCACTTGGACTAAGTGTATTGTCCGCTGTATAGAGTAGAAATGTCTTATCCAAGATCACAATACAATGACCCCGGCTAGCGCTTGAACACGCACCATGCGAAGCGTCCAACTCACTAATTAATTAACTGCGATGGGGTTGTGAGGTAGCGTTCCTTAGTTCGTCAAATGATATAAGATACGGAAGCTTGTAGACAGCTAGCGGCGGCGTGCGTATGCTCCGTACGGTGGACATCTTTTAGCAAACATGTAACTAATTTAAAACTTTTTCTGACTGCCCAGTGAAATATATACACGTGTTCGAATAACCTTCGGCTTTCGTTTGAGTGGCATTCATGATCACATGCAGTGCAGTTTGACTTCTTCCGACGCAAAAAGGAAATCAGTAAAATCGGAAAGAGAGATGTTATTGCGGATGGCATTAGCTTTCAGTCAGATGAGATGGAATTGTTTGTTTGACTTGTTTTGAATTGTTTAATTCGCCTTGCCTAGTTGCAAGGGCGTACGCGCTTACCCCGGAAGGTCTAAAAAGAACTACCCTGCATATATGCCAGGCCGCACTGTTAAAAATAAACAATAAACCTGTGATCAGCGATGCAGGACACGAGGCGAGTTCCGTCTCCATCAACAACATCCTTTATCAGTTATCCTTCTTCTTACAAATTGATTAAAGTTAATTAAAGTTATAGTCTCCCGTTACTTTTTGTGCTTTTTTTTTTTTTGGCAAGAATCTCGGGTTCTGAGGTGTTTCGCCGAGAGAAACCCTTTTTCCTTGCCGCTTTGTGGTTCCGCGTAAAACAATGTGCCGAACTGAGACCAAGGGCCGAAGGCAAGACTTTTTTTACATTTAAGTTATCTGGGCTTGGCGGTGTGATGCCAATTCTTGTACCTGAGGTTAGTTACACTTTTTTCAGCTGGGTTCCCCGTTCTTATCAGAGCTATCTAATTTGCCTCTGTGTCACAAACTGGAGTCTTCGTATAGCTGTATTTGTATTGCAGTCTTGAATCCGGCGAACCTTGTCTTTACATATTCCATTCTCAATCCTGGAGTCTTCCTTCTTTTATACTGCGACCGTCACGTATAATCTGCCTTATGCCACTAGAAAAAACTTGCCCAAGGAACGCCTTGAACGAGTAGATATAACTTGGGTGTAAAAACGGTCAAAGGCAGTTTAACATTAGAGTTTCTAAATAGTTTTCTCTCTTTTGTTACGTGAATTCAATTTCTTTGTGTTTTGAATTTATTGCATGACAATGAAATTTAGACTAGAGGTTACATGGTAATTAAAGCAGTATCTTTCTTGACACTAATGGTATCCAGATATTCACTGGTAAATAAAATGCCATGCAAATCTATCGCTGTCATACCCTTGTTTCCGATGCTTTCTACACACACGTTGTCACTATCTCTCCTTCCCTTTTGTTTTCTTTTGCCATTATTTCTCTCTTAATTATATCCGACATTGTAAGTTAAGTGTATTACAAATTCATATGAAAAGTGTCAGCTTTCGCTTACAAACGTGTCCTTCTCAAAAGTCTGATTCTATCCACCGTTCAGATTTTTTAGATAAAGATTACAAATCTGACAACTTCCGCTGCCCTTCAGCTCATGTAAACCTGGGATAGGCCCTTTGCAGCTGGGGTCACGTGACCAAATTTTTCCTATAAAATTTTTATATTATGGGCTTTAACTTAAAGAATGCCAGAAATGGAAAGAGCGCATCGAAAATACCAAAATGGCCAAGTTTGAGGCCCGTGGAATTAAAGAGTAAGTTTATATGACTGTTTGAATTTTCAGAAAATTTAGAGGATTTGTATGGAAAATGTTGCTGGAGAGCAAGGTCTTGCTCTCCAACAACTTTTTCCATGCAAATCTTCTTATTCTTTTAAAAATTTGGAGCGTCATAAAATCTCCTTCTTTAATGATGGGGGCCTCAAACTTGGCCATTTTGATATTTTCGATGCGCTCTTTCCATTTCTGGCATTCTTTAAGTTGTAGCCCATAATTTTATGAAAAATAGGTCACTTGACGGCTTAGCTGCAAAGGGCCTATTTGTTGTGACTCGCCTGTGTCTTCATGTCACGTGTCAGCCTGGTCAGCACGTGGCAAAAATCAGCTTATTTGTGAGATAAATTCAAAACGAAACAGCAAACTTTATACTTACATTAAAAACGGTCGATTGCTGTAGCTGCAGAATTTTTTAAATTCCTCAATTACTTTCACAGCCTATGTAAGTCTATTTCAGCTCCGGTCACCTTTATTTTTGCCGAACCCCAGTTGTGCTTGCTCAGCAAACAAGCGTTCCCTTTTCGGGTACATACTTTGTTTGCCAAGAGATATGGGGATTTTTGAAGCCCTCTCGTTCATGACTATTTTTAACCACAGGCAAAACCGCTGTCACATGCAAGTTTTGCTTTGCTATAAAGTTCACCAGCCTGTCAGAAGCCAAATCCGCGCATTTAGCAGATTTTATTCTTCAAAAGGCCTTATGTATAGAATACGAAAAAAACACACACTTTCCTCTACAATCCGCCAATACTTACTGTGCCGTTTAGCTGAGGTCAGATGCGTCACGTTCTTTTCGATTTCGATCGATTGTTCGATTTTTTCTCGACCCTTGGGGTTAGTCACGTGTCGAATGTGCAAATCGAAGGGAAGGGTGGGGTAGTCGACAATATATCGGTGATTAACCCTGGATCTTTGTGTGGAAAACGCTAAAAATGTTCTTTTAACCTTTAAAAAGCTTCTCGTCATTTTGGATCACTTTCAAATCGCCAAATAAAATCAGGAAGGGGGCAGGGCTATTTTTAAATGGATTCAAACATCATTGACTTGCTAATGAGTTTGACGCATAACTTAGGTCATAGAACAGCGTGCTGTAAATAGATCTCGCTTATTACGTAGGGACTACAAAATCGGCTCTGTTTGAACCGCTGTTTCCCGCAACACCAGCGCAGCTCTCCTTTAAGAGTGTTTTATCTACAAAAGTAATCATCATTTCAGTCGAGTTAGGCTTTCAACAGTCTGTCGCAGCATTTCATACAGTGTTTCGTGAGCCAGAGTACAGCGTGATTACGGGGTCCACGACATTGGAAAGCTTTCTTAATGGCGATGAGTTTTGGTGCTTGCTTCGGCGCTCGATCACGTGGAACCGAAATGGTAAATATTAATTTCAGAAATATTTCTTCTTTACAGAGTAATTACAGAATCTGATCTCGTCGGAGAGCTTTTTGTACCTCGGTTACAGTGGTAAGACTTCTTATCGAGTGATTCTTTGTCCTTCCTTTATAAGATATACTGGCATTCGATACATATACCGCTCAGGATTTCATAACTTTTAAGGAATCCAGCGCCAATCTGGCGGCATTTCCTTGGAGAAAACATCACAGATTTAACTGATTGATAACTTATCGCGAAATACCTTCGCAAAATGCCTTTGTAAATATTGTCATTGTTCTTGTAAATTTCCATATAGTGTGACCGAAGGACATGTTTGTCTACCACGGTCTAACATAGCGCTTGCTATGCAAAGCTCACACTGGGTTCTAGGGACGCTGATTTTAGACTCCGAAAGTTTCGATCGCTTGAGCGAGCAATGTACTCGTTACAATTCTGATAAAGCAAGGAAGGAAACACGTTCTCAGAAAGTTCGGTTACGTTTTCGAAACTTCTTGTCCTTCTGAGTGCAATTGTCATGATTGCAATTATGGAAATTTAAAAATCCCTACGGGCTATTGTTCTTTTATTGCTGTGTCTGTTCATGCCTCATTTCATACTCAGACAAAACAAAAATCTATTAGTGAAGTTCAGACCATTTGCACTCGTCATATCTGTAGAACCCACAATTATATTATCCTGTTTATATCAAGTAACACATTTCTGATACCTTTACATATCAACATCGAATTTTGCTCGAGGTTACATATATATGGGACTTTGCCTGACGGTAACATTAGATATCCATACATTGTGTTCAGTAATAACGGACAGCAAAGAAATAGATATCACCTCGCCGAGTATGGAAGCCTTTATTATCAACTTGCGAACTAAAAATCGGAAGCAAATTTATGACGTTGATGTACTCTCTAGACAGACTACTTTCGACAAAATGACACCAATGGAACAAGGCTGATCAATTTGACGCAGTTAAAAACCTCCTCCGTCATTGTGGTTTGACTTGGGCCTTTACATCAATTCATGATTTAGATTTATTTCTCGTGATATTCACACTTCCGTTTAAATTACATCCCATCTGCGGTTTCTCCAACAAAATATACCTGCAATAACAAATTATGTTGCTATGGCTAAAAGAGTAGCTTCCTGATTTATGGTTACAGTTTATTTTTTTTTTATTTTTACCGTTGAAATACTCCAATTAGCCAATGATACCGTTTGCTCTGTTGTTCATTTGTAACCTTGTACGTAACGAAAATTTTGATGCCCTCCTTTTTAGGCTATTTTATATGCACTGTTATTCAAGATGAGTGGTGCATTCTTTTATATTTGTTTAGCGCAATGTACCTTTCTGTAATTAACCATTGTAAATACACTGCTTAGCAACTAAGTGTCGCAGTGTATGGATTTCTCTTCTTGATCTCAAGTAACTTTTCGAGTTCCTGCAAAAAGGAAATGAGGAACTTTCCATTTGACTTCCGTTACCCAGCATGCTGCTGTGCCGGTGACCGCACCCTCGTGGAAGTGTGGGAAGGGAACCGAGTAGAATCTCGAACCGTGGAAAGCGAGTGTATTCTTCGAGGAATCCACCATGAATTTGCTACTACAATTCAGATAAAGAAGGCTGCATTTTGAACTGACGTCGATCAGGATCGACCTGGAGAGTAAAATGAGCGAGTTGTGGTTGTGTTTTCCTTGCTGTGTTACTGAGCAACCTCAGCCGGTATCGTCGAACGCAAAGCCAGTTCATGTCGTTTCATGTGTGTCTAGAGATTTCTAGGCGATATTGCGTTCCAAAGCTTAACGTGTTTTTCTTTATTTTGCAGAGGAGGCGAAGGATCGACAGGTCCATGATTGGAGAACCGATGAATTTTAAAGTGAGTGCATTGTTTTGATGTTTGATTTTGTTTTCTGGAGTCAAGTTTAATAAACTGTTTGACTGATTAGAGCTTTCTTAATATTTGATTTTAATTTACAGCACACGGGGCACATTGGAAGTGGCGACATGGCTTCAGGCTCTGATGTGAGTAGAGACTTTTACTGTTTTTTTCAAAACTTATTTGTCCTTTGATGCGACGAATAGTTTAATTCCAGTTAAGTCTTTTATTTACAAGAACGTTAGCAACTAACTCTGAAATCAACGCAAGCTTACTAAGCTAGAGTTACTTGAGATTGTGGTAAAAACCAAACTCTCTCCAGAAATTCTAATTTCCTCGTTCCAATTTTTCACGCCTCGCATAGTTCATCGATAGTCAGGGTCACTTACAACTGATTACAAGAGGTTGTCTTAAAATATTGTTACAATTTCTCGTTTTAGCTTGGCTCAATTCAAGGACAAATGCAGTCTAAAGGTGGTTATCAAGGAATTAGTGTACCCGTTAGTTCGACACCATCGGGAATTCCAGTGGGCGGACAGAATTAAATCACACATATCATTTGTAGGATACAGTAAGTTGACGAATGTTTTTGCCCTTTTCAATTATTTTAGAAGTGATCAAGTTTTAGTTTCGTCAAAGCTCGATATTTACTTGTCTTTATTACGTATTTAAACCACTCTTCTTTGCCATTTCACTTTCGATGTTTTTGGTTTTCGAAAACCCAACCCACGCACACATAGTCATACTTGTATCGATGATATTTTGCTGGAAAATTTTCACACAATGTGAGAGAATATTATTATAAACTAGTCCACCTGAGTGTTAAGTTTGCACTAAGAACGTTATCCTATTACCATCGTAATGGCATCAAAGGAAAGCTGTGCGTTACTTCAGCAGTTTGAAGAATCAATTTGCTCCAAACTGCCAGTCCTTGCATAATACACCTAAAATTGATTAGCTACACAGCTTTTTCAGTAGCCTTAAATCCTTTGCAGGCATTTTGTTTTTTTTGGCAAGGAAGTAACTCTTCCAACCCCCCTTCTCTGTCTTCAAGGGTCGACGCACCACCTTCAACTTTTAATGCTTGCAAGTGTGTTAAGAATTCTTAGCCTGCGCATAGATATGAATACAGTGATACAGTGCTTTCTGCTAGTTTATTATTCACTGATGTTTCACAAATCAGTAGACAGTAGTGTTTTGCAAGTATCAGTTTGTTACCACTTGAACATGGCAGTCATTTATGGGAATGGAACCTGTTTTGCACCCAATCCAGTTCGCACCCACTGAGTTCGCACCCTGAGCTCATTATAAAATTTAAATTTCGAGTTTGCCTGCACCTTCAATGGATTAAATTTTGTTTCATGAAGCCCACAATGTTGTAAATTGTTTGCTCGGTAAGAGGAAGATAAATTTTAAGCACTTGATCGCTAGTGAGTCGATGTGGGTGCGAACTTGGTGGGTGCAAACTTGCTTGGAGTTGGGTGCAAAACCTCCAGCTACCCATTTATGGTCTTCTGGGAATTTGGGAATTAATGCTAACTATGTGAGCATGGGTAAATGTTTGCTTTTGGGACTGTGATGTAAGAACTCAACTTTGAAATTGAATCAGACTTTGGTAGTTCTCACCTTGCCAAGAGTTCATGTGGTCTTCTTGCTAAAGAGTTCATACTTCATTTGGAAGCCGGTCTTTTGTTTACTCAAAAAAAGCCATTGACATATGCTAGGAACATGTTGACTGAACATCCAGATCTGGAAATCTTACAGCACAAATATTAACTTCAACTGTCTGCACAATTTACCTTTAAGATAAATATGACATCATAAGAAAGCACTCTCTCCTCTCCTGGGCATTGACAACAGTTTGCAGTACAAGAAATTTATATGAATTGTGGCTTCTGCTTCTCATAGGCAGAAGTGACAAATTCTCATTATAGTACATGTTGACAGCTTAAAGACTACAGACTACTGCAAAGGAGCAAACTTTGTGATTTTGTTTGAAGCCGGTAAACAGCATTGACAATGACGTGAAATCAAGAAGTAAACTTAGGTGCATTTTATGAATGGTTTGCATGCATATTTCAATATATCAAATTGTTTTGTTAGTTTGAAAAAAAAACAATGATAACTTGCAGCAGTGACACCTTTAATTTTAAAGTTCGATTGCTGCAAAATACATGTGTACAGTACGTACACAGTCTTGTGTACACTGATGGATTGTTTCTCAATAGGTAATTCAACTGAATATGATTTCAACATGGTTTCACACTACTTTCACTAAATTAAATTTTAGATCAGAGTCAGTCTGGTTGGCCATAAGTAGTTAGTACTATTAACTTTAATGCAAAGGGTCTAATGATGCAAGCTACCATGTATGACTTTGAAAGTCGAAATTTGATAGGCATATTTTCATTGATGGAGAAAACGTGTTAACATAAAATGGTGTAATTTTGTTAAAAATCATTATTAATATTAAATGTACATGCACTGGAGTGCAGAGCACATGGAGTGTTAGTGTGTTACATATGCACAAAGTTGTGATGCCAAATTGAAAAGTCTGGCAGACTTTTTCAAAATGTGAAGACTTTTCTGGGAAAAGTTGTTAAAAATGATTAACAATTCATTTCCCTTTCATCAATTCTCTTGATATCTTCATCTTGGTGTCAATCTAAGTGAATCTACTTAGTCAAATTTTAGGTCTGTTTGTGGTGCATGTTACTCCTTGAAGTCCTTAAAAAGCCCTGGAATTTAATTTAAGATTTCAAGGGTGCTTATAAAGCCCTTGAAAAGAAGAATTTCTGCTGAAAGTGCTTGAAAATAGTGAAAGCTCCTTGAATTTTTGCTTGATGGGAAATAATGTAGGATTATATCAAAGTGATTCAAAGATCAAGCACAGATTTCAAAACTGCAGATGGATTTTGTAAAAATGTGTATTGCAGCATGCACTGTTGCATGCTGGGTGAGATTATGTGCTGCGCACATTTCATTTCGGAACCACTTTTTACGTCATGTGATCAGATTGAAGCCATCTTGTATGTCTTTGTATGTGTAGTCATGGTTGCTTGGATGAAAACTCATCTAATTAGTAATCAAAATGCCTGGCTTGGGTTAATTAATGTGTTTCGAACGTTATATGGCTTCTAGATGATGCATACAAAGAGTGGCTTCTAGGTGTCAGTTTTAGAAATGGCCTTTTTTCCTGTTTATGTGTTTTTAATGATTCATTTCATGTTCTGTCTCTTGCAGGTTGCACTTTTTTGTTTGAAGAGTAAACAGAATCAAAGGAAGCAATATTTCAGGAGTGACATAATAAAAATAGGAAGACAATAGACTTCTTTTGGATGAATATTACGGAGGAAAGAAATTTGAGTGGCATTTGATTCCAGTTGTAAATAATGGAGCAATTGAAGTAGTGTGTTTTATATGACAATAGAGTTAGTTTCATAGTATAAATAAAGCAAAGGATCAACCTTCAACAGCTAGCTGTGTATCATAGCTAGCTTAAATTTATCAACATACATGCAGTTTTTGATCAGAATGACTCGTAAGCTTTTTTACTCCATGTTTCTTGTTTTGCAAACATTTTTAATTTTCCTCTCGGCTGGATACAACCCCTATAAAGCTAGTGATCAACAAATTTAAGAAATTCACTGTGAATTCCCTGTAACCTTGTTAACCCAGTTGCCACATCTTTGTTCATTCGAGTGGAGATATTCTGGGAAAATTTTACCTATGACGAAAACACAATTTCTGTTAGGCTGCTAAAATCCCATAATTTCCATATTTTTCATTTTATTTATATTTTGATGGGAAATTGAATGTTGATCTCTGTTAGGGCTAATGGGTTAAATGGCGAGACATGATTAAAAAAATGCCCATTACACTTGTGTGGTGTCAAGTAGGGGGTAACTTGTGTATCTCTTTCTGCTGTTTATCTCCACTGTATATGTATATATTAAACATAACATGAGCCCCATGATCCTGTTTATCTGAGAAAGTCAGCATTGGATTGAATAAATTGTTAAATAAGAAAAGCTGCATTGGTTATTATTCTTATTGGCATACAGTGTAGTTGAGGTATGGAATTTTATAAGAATTTTTAATCAAAGATATGAGGGAACAATGGTAATATTACTAGTTGTGAAGAAGTGTTGCGAGTGATTGTATAGTATGTTGGGGGTTTGTCAACAAGAAGTCTCTATCTTTCAATTCCCCATAATTCTCTGTTTAGTCCCCAACTTTTGCATAAATACTCTTGGCAGGTCTGCATGTTCCCGAGAGCATTTCACAACAGTAATTTATTTAGTACTTGAAGTGGGGGGGTGGGCAGGAGAGGGGGGAACAGAGTGAGTTATGGGGAATAGGAAAGTAGAGAATGTGTAGATCCCATTTCATTTGCTAACAATTAAGAAGAATCAGGGGTGGATCCAGGATTTTCCTTAGGAGGGTGTGCACCACTAAAGAATGGCATAACTGACTGGTGGGGTAAACAAATTTTAAAAGTGAATATGAAGAAGAAGGCTTCATCTCAGGGGGGGGGGGCACCCCTGCACTCTCCCCCTAGATCCACCCCTGTGGATTAAATTTATATTACATCTCAAGTAATCCCTCCTTACAAAAGATTGCTCATTGAGAATTTTTGGTTGTCACTTGGTAGTCCAGGAGGTGAATGAGTATCATGGCTGACAAAATTGCACAAGACCATACAACATGGGCAATTGTATGTCATAGAAAGCTTTAGAAGTGTTTAGTTATTCCAAACTGCATGAGAAAAATTGTGAATGCTTGTAATACACTTGATTTCTTAGGCAACTGGCAAGAGCCTTAGTCTTCCAAATATCTTAGGAATTGCAAGCCTTCCCATAATGTCAGAAAATCTTCGGAAATGTTTGGGCAATATGCGACAAACTCAAGATCATGAAGTAATTGTTGGACCTCTTCACAATCTTCAGAAGTATTCAGGTAATATTCGGAAATCTCAAATGTTTGTGACATTTGGAGGTTCCTGAAAGCAATCAGGTGGTCTTCGGAATTCTGAAACCTTCTGTTATTTTCGAAAAGCTTCAGGTGATCTTCAACCACCCTCGAAATACCTCGGATGACTGGGGGTAGTTTGGGGCTAACCTTGGATTTGCACTGGTGTCCTGCTCTTTTATAGCTATCAGGACCCTCCCAGCATAGGGAGTACCCCCCCCCCCCTGGGAGAATATCTTGTGATATGGTCTTTCTTTGTAACATATTATATAAGACATGTATTCCATCACCGTAACTCTGAAAGGCCCTTTTTACTTGGTGAACAATGAATTGTGTGCCACCTCAGATGGGCTCAATCTATGTTCCTTCCCATTTGGTAAATCGTAACACCTTTTACGACAACTACAGAAATTCTCACGCACTCATTGGTTAATTTTCATTGTCAATAGGCGGACAGACATAAATTTATAATTTGTGCGATGCATCAATGAGCGAGAGCAGACAATTTGTTATTGTAAACAACTGATTGGCATCAGTTTTTCACCTGTCTGTCCAGTTATTGGCAATGAATTTCGTCATAACATTGTCAAAGTAGTCTGCAGATCCACTCAGTCATCGTCTCGTGGATCAAGTTACTTTGACAATGTTATGACAAAATTCATGATCAATAACAAGACAGCTGCATGAAAAACTGACGTCAATTTGTTGAGTGTGTCATGGAATGTTATAGTGTAGGTACTGTTTCATAGGTTCAGTAAAGTCACTCTATGCAACACCTCTATGTACACTTTCTGGCAAATTAATTGTAAGTCCCAAATAATAGGAAAAGTGGGGTGCAGCAGGGCGGCCGAACTACCCTTGTGGGCAAATATTAAAGTCCTGCGAAGCAGAAATATTTTTCCCTTTAGGCCCCAAAATATTTCTTTACCCCTAGGGCCAAATAGTGTATAACAGCTATTTTAAAATTAATCTCAATGCACCATTGACAACAACGTAGTACAACTCTGTTACATTTTTATTAACCCAAAAGTACAATGCATCGTCCTCACGTGCACTTCCTAACCTTTGATTATTACTAGTTAACCTTCAAGTCCAAATTTTGGCTTACACGCATGCTCCAAAGTGGAATATTGTACATTTTTGTACCTACTCCTCGGGAAATCTATCTTTTTGGTCAAACAATAGCTTTTTAGCAAAACTAAGCCCCAGCTCCAAGTCACTAGTTGTGTCATTATCTTCGATTTCCAATGATTGCTCACCACCATAAGTATCATTCAGACACTTTGCGCTCAATAACATTACTGGCATTCAGAAGAATATTACTCAACTGATTAAGGAGCTTGAAACTGCATCAAAAAATATAAGTCCACTTAGACCCACTTACTCCATTGGTTCTAAACCAACGTGTCAAAATCTAGGAGAATAAATGGGGACTCTGATCACAGTCTGTTGCGACTATTTTGGAGTAGTGTGTCTACATCAAGGTGAAGAACGCCTAAATTTATTGAAACAAAGCTTTGTAAGATAAATGGTTTTTGGTTTTTTTACTTGCCCCAGCTCAATACTTTCAGAATTTTGGTATCCCTTTCCCCAGTTTTACGCTTTCAGTGTTTTGGGTATCCCTATTTGGGATACCAAAACACCAGGGTACGTGGGTACACAAAACTCTGGGATATCCAAATCACTGGGGTTACGCAAGGGCTGATAAATGAAACATACGACTGGGAAGAGTCAAGTCCTGGGGACGAGTCAGGAGGCCTTCCTTTTGCTAGGAGACTTTGAATGCCAGAAACCACCCCTATGAGAAGGTAGTGTGACTACAGGAAGTCAGTCAGAAGTTTCAACTAGAGAAAGAAGAAAAAGAAACAACCCAGTAGCCAGGATGTTAACCTGCCATTTCTGGTCTACATCTACATCTAATTATTACAGAGAGATACATGAATAAAACATGATACAGCCATTTGTGTCTGGCAGCTGAAACACAACTTCTATAATAAACCTGGTTAATACAGAGTATTCATTGCAACATAATTCAATACCAATGAACACAAACAGAGCACTTGGAACATCAGCAAAACAAAGGATGGTGTCTTTTTGTGTAAACGAACCAGTGAAACTTAAGAATGCAAATAACATTGTTCGACAACAAAATTTGAAACCCAACAAAGTTGCAAGAAGTTGTGTGCCTCTTGGAAAACCTGATAATTTGATGATTTGTTAGTTTCGATCCTAAATGATAATGATAATATATATAATTATGTCTCATCTCATATAATTAATTCCGATCAATAAACTTGTTGTTGTTCAACCGTCGGCACCCTTTGAATTCTATCTCACTTGGGTGTTTTGTTTCCTTTGCGGGAATTTTTGCGTCAGACTCTTACCTGTAACATTTTATTTGCTGAAAAATTCTAAAACTGTTTCAAAAAAATAAGATCAAAACTAATTAATAAAAAATATTACAGTTTCCTGAGAGATCAACAACTTCTTGTTTATATTCTTCAAAGTCAGCGGTTCATTTACAAAAAAAAGATATCGTCAGCCTTTGTTCTCAATTAACGTTTTGATTGCATAATTAACTCTGCCCAAGTGAACAAAGTTGAAAATAGCTATTTGGCCCATCTGGCTTGGTTCGAGTGGTCACAACGTAATACAACACTAGTCTTGAAAACTTACCGAAGCAGCCAAATAATTGCAATATCAACTACTACAAACTGACAACCTCTTTCACTTTGTACCTAGAATAATATCTTAATGCGCAACAGGAATCTCTTCATCATGCCATGACGAGCTCAATAAGCATCTGCGCTGGACTCTAATGTTAATGAATAACTAATCTAATATCCCAACTTTCCAACTACCAAGATAGTTAAAATGCTATGTGACTGACTGACTGAGTGTCAAGGGGAAAAAAGCCTATTAAATCAAAATGTACATTTAATTTCAACAATAAAATAGAATAGAAAGATTAGTCACAACACCAACAGGAACTAACAAAGCATAAAACCTAATGTAGTCTGGGATTTTAAGAATTCTCAAACCAGTTGTGTCATTGATTTAGATAATAGCTAATGAAAATCTGTAAGGTACTGGTCCACTGTGAATGTTACAAGTCGTGATCATTAATCATATAAATTCCTATTTGACATTTTTTTTCTCAAACAGGAGTATAACCCAACTTTCCTAAGTATCAAAATTTCCGCATACCATGTTCAGACATGTGAAAGAGAATCCCACATACATTATGACAGTACTCTCCACACATCCAGCAGGTAAAGTTTTCTCTGTCTTCAGGAGAACATTCACTGCATCTGTGTCCTTTTAAAGTCTTATTATACTTGAAGGATTTACAGCATTGGTCACATTTGAAGGGTTTTTCACCACAGTGAATCCTCATATGTTGTTTCAAGTTTGTTGTTTGGTTAAAACATTTCTTACACTGAGAGCATTTGTAGGGTTTCTCACCACTGTGAATCCTTAGGTGTCTTTTCAAAGTCGATGAGCAGTTAAAACATTTCTTACACTGAGTGCATTTGTACGGTTTCTCACCACTGTGAATCCTTAGGTGTCTTTTCAAATTCGATGAGCGGTTAAAACATTTCTGACACTGAGTGCATTTGTAGGGTTTCTCACCACTGTGAATCCTTAGGTGTCTTTTCAAAGTTGATGAGCGGTTAAAACATTTCTGACACTGAGTGCATTTGTAGGGTTTCTCACCACTGTGAATCCTCATGTGTCTTTTCAAATGCGATGAGTAGTTAAAACATTTCTTACACTGGGTGCATTTGTAGTGTTTGTTGCCAGTGTGAACTTTCAGATGTCTTTTCAAACTTGATGTACATCTGTTGGATTTAGTATTCATGTGGCTTGGCAGATTTTCTCAAATACAAAAAAAAAGCTATTGAAAAGTTCTCTGGAGTTTTTGTCACTGACAAAATGAACTATAAGCATCAAAAGAAATCAGAAATTAGCAACTAGCTAAACAGGAACAACATGAGTTAGACAGTCACTACAGAACTTATGCACTATGATCAATTTTGACTATGCAAGAAAAAAAAACCCACAAACCCTTGATTTGATTCTGACAAGTTAAATGCGTACTCACCAATCAAAATAAAGTTGATGACATGCAAGCAAACCTAAAATTTCACAAACTACTGTCGCTGTTTGCAGTTTAGTTTTCCCATGCCTAATTGGCTTTTTCCTAGCTTCAGACTATCATTCCATAAGCATTTATGGTCTTCCTGTTTTTTGTGTTTCACGGTGATCCTCCAATCAGGTGTGTTTTTTCTTTTTCTTTTGGGGAAAGGGGCAAATGGGGGAAGGGGAAAAACGAATGCCTGATCACAGGTTATTTCACAGTAGTAGGTCCACCTATAAATTATCTGCAGAATTTGTGCTTTGATGTGTGCCAGTTTTGTTTATTTTGATCAGTTAAATCATACTGTAAACAGGGTTTCTTTCAGTGAGAAAATAATGACTTGCCCTTATGCAATGACGTTTGCTTTAATCATGCTTGTGGAATGAAAATACAAATGTAAATGTACAAGTTATCTGCTGGGAAAGACAATTCCCCATTCACGCCTAAAGATTTTAAAATCAGAA